TCCAGTTAGCAGCTAGACCAGCGTATGGCATAGCATAGAAGAGCCAAACCCTCTGGTCCGGATTCGGCAGTGTACCTACATCTAAAGGAAAAAGATCACTCCTTTGAAGACAGTAAAGTACACATCCTAGACAGGGAGGAGGTGTGAAAGAGGCCGTTTATGTAAAAATGGAGAAGCCAAGCTTGAATAGAGTTGAGGGGGTGAGACATCTATTGTCTGCCACATACAATGCTGCTTTACCCCTCTCTCAGGGCAAGTTATTAACACCTCCTAGCTCCGATTATGTAAATGCAATCAACACCTGGTTGTGAATAACAGATTATGTGGATTGGAGCAACATTCACCATTTTTATTCCCAGATAATTTTTGTACAAGTCATTATGAATTGAGAAAGCTGGTTGGATGACCAGTGAAACGTCTTCCAGAAAAATACAGCAAGTCCAGTTGCCTTGACTAATATTTTACAGATCGATCCAGTTAGGTGACTTTGCCTGACCTAGGATGTCATCAGTCTGCTGCAGGCAGGATCAAGCATTTGCCCAGTCCCCTCTCCTCAGCAATGGCAGCTTGCCAAGTAACCAGCTGTAAAATATCAACAATTTTGACAGCCCTTATATTGTGATTACGGTAATTGAACCCGCCGCCACCAAATCCTATCCTATGAGTCATTTATGCCACACACTACATTAATAGGTGCAATAATAAGGAGGTGCCTCCTATCTGTGCTTCTAGCTGAAAATAAATGAAGATGGTAACATTGTCCAGTATTTACACTGCAGCATATAGCACCTAAGGGATGCTACTGCCCTCATACACAAGGGATGGTTGTAGAACACCACTAAAATCAATGCTGGGAGATCCCTCCACTCATACAAGTGCATTCTACAACAGAAGCAGACAACCGCTGTCTAACCAGCTGCTGTGGAACTACAAGTCACAGAATGCATTGGAAAGCACTGATGGTGTACGCCTATAACCCACATGAGGAAATGAAGATATTGGGGAACAATTTTGAGTTTCCCTTGAGCCTTACATACCCTGTGCGCACTTGTATCGTCCTGTAAATATCAGCTTACAATAAACCATGATGCTGCTCTTATCGTTGAACAACAAGAGGCTATTGATTGCTCATTTGTAGCTATGCCAACAGCCTTTTCCCTCCTGTTGGTTTCTGAGGTTGTCTGTCGTGGTCAATCTACCCCACAGAGAGCAATTGTTGTCCAAATATATTGTAATTGCTGGTATTTGAAAATCAATAGAAGCCTAATTGCTATGGGTATCTAATGTTTTGTGGCAGTGTAAAGAATGTATGTACTGCATATACCGTACATGGATAACTAAATAGATGTGTTCATATATATCGTGACCATTGGTATTAAACCAGCCAGTGGTGTAACATAGCTTACTCGTTTTCTGCAATACACAGTAGTTATCATTGCAATGCAGACTGTTGGACAGGAAGCAGTAAAATATACAGTGTGTGGCAGATATACAAGAGAAATTCCTGTGCAGGGTTAGCTGGTGATTCTGTAGCCATAGGGTCGCAGCTAGGCAAAGCTATTGCAGCTATGGCCAGCTATTCTTACAGCTCGCCATAGGCATGCAATGACAGCTACCTGATCATCACGTGATGACCTCAGTCTGTGTTGGCTGGAAAGGCACAGACCAACAGATCAGGCAGTTTTGAAAACCTCTACTAATTACTGTCGATGTGTAGCTTGGCCAAAATTCAAGCAGTGTATGGCCCTGTTGGCACACCTCAGTTTAAAAAAAAAAAAAAAAGATTTTTCAATCAACCTTTGTTGAATGAGCCGGGCCAAATATTCTAAGCCAAACAGCGACTGCAGCCACTCAACTACAATCACTGTTTGGGTATTCTATCAGAGGCATGCCTCTAAGTGGCAGTGGGGATTCTCTCATCCATGCCATTTAGTGTGGATGTGGGTATCAAGTGTTTTAAAAAAAAAAAACTTTAATTGTATGGACAGCTTAACACTAAAACTGGCCATAGATGGTGCAAAGTTTAGGCCACTTCCGGCTGAATAGCTGCAAATTTGAGCTGTGGGTGACCTTGCAAGCACCAATGACCGCATCAGATAGGATGAGGTGGTCATACAGCCCATAATTTTCCACCCAGCTCAGTCAATTTTTGAATGAATTGACTTTTGTGGAGCCAGGTGGAAAATGATCAGGGGAACAGCCACTGCATCCTATGGGATACAATCACTGTTCGGGTATTCAGGCCACCGTTGCTGCCTAAATACACTAGCCAGCACTGGAGATTTCTCCATTCACCCGTTTAGCGTAGATGAGAAATCAAATTTTCAGCCCACAAGCCAAATGAGAAAGTCAAGCCTTTTATGCAACTCTACTCCTAATGAAGGCCTTACACGTGGAAATTTGATAGAGGTTTTAAACGTTCAATTCCATTTCTTAATGAAACCGCCAAGTAAATAAAAGCCATAAAATAGTTGTGTTCTGTAGAGCCCGCCAGTACAAATCAATGACAGGCCACGGCTGCTTGGTGCTCAGAGTGTGAATATCTGTAAAGGTTCAGATGCATGCCCCTGGATGCAGACTATGTGTCCAGGGTATACATCTGTACCTGTACATAAGTTTACACATGGAGCAGCATTTACCAGTGTACAGCTGCAGCCTGTCATTGATTTGTACAGGCAGGTGGTACACAACACCTATGGCTCTCAGGCCCAGAGATCTGGTCATTTTTTTTGGTACACGGACCTCTGCGCCCGTGTGAATGAGCCCCAAGGAGATTGAATTGAATTTGCCTGCTGCCAGATGTTTTGGGGGACGTTAGGGAAGAATACATAAACATATTCTGATCTGTCTGTGAATGGTCGCAAACTTTCTCCAACGCCTGTAGGAATCTACAGGAAATTATCTTGTTTCTACAAAAGTCGTTCACAAACAATGCCGCTGCCACATTTGTACAAAGACATGCTAATATGTACTCAGCAGGCATCTTCTACAGTGATCTTATCTATGAGTAACAACTGTGCAAAAAAAATATTCAACCTGCCCCTCCATCCCCAGCAAGATTTTTTGCAGTTTATATTCTATGGGGAGATTCCCCTTCACTTCCTGTTCTGGAGAAATAACAAAAGTGAGAGGAACGCTCTCAAAATCAAAGGGAAATATCCATAGACATAACAATGATCGATTAAGGTGCAAGCAATCGCAGGCAATTGATTTTTTATTGATTAAAATATCCAATGATGCAATGCACATGGTATGGTTCTGCATTTTGCAATTGACTGAAAGGATCGATCAAAAAAAATACAATGGGGGGAATTTATCAAAACTAGAGCAAACAGAATCTGGAGCAGTTGCCCATGGCAACTAATCAGTATCTCTTCAGTTTGCTCAGGTAAGATTGGAAAATGAGACAGAGAAGCTGATTGGTTGCAGTGCAAATCTGCTCCAGATTTTGACAAATTTCCCCCAGTTTATCATGCCTCCCAACTGTCCCTCATTTGGAACCAAATCCCTGTGTCCCTCTTTTTGGTCTGATGTACAGATATCTATGAAAAGTGTTATCATGCACTACCAAAAGTGTTATGCGCCAAAACCTTCATCTTAATTATCTTGTTTGCTATTTTGTAAAACCAGTATTAAAAAAAAAGCATGGTGAAAAGAAAAAAAAAAAAAACAATTCTGGGTCGAAACAATTATTTTTGGTATATAAATTCCTAATGGTCCACATAACTAGGAACGCAGCAGTGGAATTTCCATTGCACAAGTGCAATGTGCTGGATGGTGTCCCTTTTTCTCATCTCAGAAAGTTGGGAATTATGGTTTATAGAGGTTAACAATCCATTAAAAACAATCATTTAATTGATCTAAATTCTGATCAGTTCTCCTACATGTACAGATATTTGTTCCTTCGATCAGAAGCGATCGAAATTGATCATGAGCTTACTAAATAGATTGAATGGAGGGTTTTTGGCTTACAAATGTTATTCAATTCAGATTATTTGCATTGTATGATTGAATTGAATTAGCATATTGATACAAGTGTGGCCACTATAAGATGGTTGTCACCTCACCAGAACAAGTGCCCCCACTGGAAGACTTCTCATCAATTTCTGTCTCGGTGACAGTGGTCACCAGGACAAAGAAAGTAAATGTCCCCAGCAGGGCCACAGGTAGCACATTTCATAGTATTAGTGCAATTTCGCACTTCCACACCCTATCCAAAAGAAAAAGGAATGTTTTGGTTTTAGATAAACTTTAGTTACAATATTTTCCAGAACAATTGCAATTTACAGCAATTTTCTAGCTCTTTCGACCAGCTTTGAATCATAAAAACAAGGAAGATAAAAAGGCAGCCTACCAACATCTCTGCCACATAAACTAGTTGCCTTGATTAATTCAACTGTTCTCTGAAATATGATGGAAATTGCTAGCAAACTACCCTGGGTCTGGTCAACATGAGGTCCTACAAAGACGGGGTTTGTGTAGCATATTGGTAGAATCTTGAATGCAGGATTTAAATTGGATATACGTGTTCTGTTTATGATTGTGAGGTTTTTTTTTATGTACATGTCCTAATCTGCAAAATTATAGAGCTTTTATCACACTAAATACAAGTCAATTAGAACACAATGTAATGCATATTAAACTCATGGTAAAGGTGTTGTAAACATGCAATATCTCCTAACCATTCAATTTTCTCTATGGAAAAGGGAAGTATTGGTTATTGTTCACAAAGTCAAGGCCAATGTGCAGTTAGGTTTGTATCTGATGATACAAAGCTCCCATTACCTCACCCCTACGCAGCCCATCTGCTGCAGTCAAATATTTAAATAATTGCATCTCTTGGTTTTATTGACGAGTATGACGGCCTGTACAACAGTCTTTGCATGTACATAAAGGAAAGCCTTTGAAAGAAAGATTGCGAATGGCTTTGCAACAACTTAAATTAATCTTATACCACCATACTGGGAAAATGTATATTCTTCCAAGATGCTTGAGACGGATCAACATAATACAAAAGGTAGCAAAGGGAATCAAAAATAACTCCTCTATAGGCAACCTTTATCAAATGCTAAAAGCATATGTACATTTCTATATTGCAGATTCCCAGTCCTTAGATGTGGTGGCTGCATTAGTGTTCTGTTTTCAGGCTAAGACTATTTTCAGTAAGCAGAGGAAATGTCTGTTGGTCTTGCCAGGAATGTAGTGTCCTTGTCACTCCCTGTGAGCTGAAAAGATGGCAAAAACAAAGTTATCTTTCTTGTGTATGCTACTAATCTCATTAACGGCCGTGTAATTGAGATGAACAAAGGCAGTTATGTTTGAAGTTCAGCCTGTGTGGCAACCATGATTCCTTCTATAGATACAGTGGAGATGTGAGTCTAGACTTAGAATTAGGGTACAGCGCATTCCGCTGTGCGGGCGTACGAGCTGTGGGTGGGAGATGCATTTGGGGAACCATTCAAATGAATAGCAATGCAACACACCTACCACACCACAATGCACGGTAGGTGCAATTAAGATTAAATACAGTGCATCAATCGCACTAGTGTGAATGGGCCCTCAAAAACACTGACATACATACACAACCACAGACACAATCTGCTGTGCTGTGATGGAGCTCCATCCATATGTGCATTGCTTGTACAGCTCCCTTGTGCGCCCTGTAGAGGTGCCGGGAGCCAGAATGTGACGTCACTCCGGTGCAGGCAACTCTACAGGACTTGTGAGGGAGCTGTAAGCAATGCATGTATGACTGGAGCTCCCTCGTGGCCATACCCCACCCCACCTCAAGCTGACACATGGCGCCAGGCAGAAAATAATGAATGGCTGCTTGGAGCGAGAACTGACAGTGCTGCGCTAGGGGGAGGCTGAGAAGCCTCTCAACTAGAATAGTGGAAGGCATGCGGCGACCCACTAAACACGGAGCCGCGACCCACTTTTGGGTCACGACCCACCAGTTGAGAACCAAGGCTCTAGTTGGAACGAACGGGTACAGGGGATCACTCCACACGTCAGCACCATCTAGGGGCGCTAGTACCAGGCAAACGGTATCCACCCAGCTATATTCAGGCAGATTTTTTTTATAAATGAAGCCCAAAGGGTCAGGAAGGGTATTATTTGCAGGAAAACTAGGTGAAGTATCTGAGAAAAAAATACACATACATCAAAAGCCCACCTTCATATCAGGAACCCCCTTCACATCAGAGTCCCCCACCCTTTCACATCAAAAGCCCACCTTCATATCAGGAACCCCCTTCACATCAGAGTCCCCCACCCTTTCACATTAAAAACCCACCCTCATATCAGGAAACCCATTCACCTCAGAGGCGCTCCCTCTCCCCCCGAC